ACACACACACACACACACACACACACAATGGGCTATTACTCAGTCACACACACACATACACACAGAGTCAATGGACTATTACTCAGTCACACGTACACACACACACACACACAGTCAATAGACTATTAGTCACACACACACACACACACACAGTCAATGGACTATTACTCAGTCACGTATACACACACACACACACACACACACACAGTCAATGGACTATTAGTCACACACACACACACGCACAGTCAATGGGCTATTACTCAGTCACACACATACACACACACACAGAGTCAATGGACTATTAGTCACACGCACACGCGCACACACACAGAGTCAATGGACTATTAGTCACATACACACAAACACACACACACAGTCAATGGACTATTAGTCACACACACACAATCAATGGACTATTGCTCAGTCACACACACACACACACACACACACACAGAGTCAATGACTATTACTCGGTCATAAAAAGAAGAAAACAGTTCCATTTGCTACCACAGGGATGCACCAGGAGATATCACACCAGAGAGAGAAAGACAAACACGGACTGAGCTCCCTTATAGGTGGAATCTTAACTCTCAGAGGCAGAAGAGAATGCTGACTAGGGGCACACACACGGGGCGATGTTGGTGCAAGGCTACATGCTTTCTATTACATGATGAACACACTGTGGGGACCTAACGGACAGCATGGTGAGCACAGTTAATAACAGTGTCCTTGCTTGCAAAGCGTGTAGATGGCAGATTGTAAACGTTGTCACCACACACCAGAAAATGGTGAATATGTGAGGTGGGCAGTGTGTTAATTAACTTAATCGTGATAATCGTTTCACAACACATACGTATATGAAATCATCACCCTTCCACTTCAGATATATACAATTTTGTCAATCATGCCCCAATGAAGCTGGGGCTGGGGAAAACATCACCTTGCCTTCCCCTGAGGAAACGAAAAAGAAAGAGAAATAAAAGGCCTCCAAAATGATAAAGCCTGAGACAAACACCACTGGTTGTTTAGGAAGACTTTCATGCATCCATACCTTTACAACTAAAAGCAATTCACTGGCAATTCAACCAAATCCGTTCCAATTCAACACACCCATGGGGTGAAAACTGGATAGAAGATATCGTGACGGCCTCAGGTTGGGCTGGTTTCACAGGGGAAGGAGCCTCAGAATCACCCTGTAGGGCT